TGGTTGCCTCAATGGGTAATGATAATGAGAGTAGGAACTAATGTGGCTTCAAATGTAATATAAAACATAATTAGTTCTATAGCAGTAAAGGTTATAATTAAGAGGATTTGTAGTATAATTAGTATTGTAATGTAGAGTTTTTTTCGGGCAAGTGGTTCTTTTAGGAGGTGAGATTGGCTTGCTATTAACATCAAGGGGAGAAGTCATATTAATATTAAGAGTGGTGCGGAAAGGGAGTCAGAGAAAAATGTTAAAGAGTAGTTGAGGCTGTTATCGTTAAATTGGTTAAGTAGAAGTAAGCTTGTAAAGCTCATTAGTAAACTGTGGGTTGTAGTGTTAATTCAGATAAAGTTACTTTTTGATAGTCAAGTTAAAGGTATAATAGTAGGAACGATAAATTTTAGCATTGAAGGAGGTTAAGGTTTTGTACGTAGTCAGTACCATACGTGTTGGAAACTATGACTAATAAGGCTAGTCCAATAGCTGCTTCGCAGGCTGCAAATACTAAGAGGATGATTGGTATCATGTTGGCCAGAGTGAAGTGTGTGTTTAGGATTGTAAGGGCTGCTAGAATGAATAATGATAGTACTATGCCTTCTAAGCATAGTAATGCAGATATTAGGTGGGATCGGTATATTAATAAACCTGTGAGGGATACTGTAAAGGCAATTAAAATGTTAATGTGGACTAGGGACATTTGGTACTTGTGAGTTTAGATCACAGTCTAGTGGGTCGAAACCACTTGTTTTATTTTAAACTAAGTATCATATTTATCTCATTCTAGGCCTTTTTGGGTTCATTCATAGGCTAGGCTAGCTGCCAGTAGGGAGATTAGGAATAGGGCCATGAGGAGTATTGTTGTTAGGTTATTTGTTTGGATTGCTCAAGGTAAAGGGAGTAGGAGAGCAATTTCTAGGTCAAAGAGGAGGAAAGTAATTGCTACTAGGAAAAATTTTATGGAAAAGGGTAGACGAGCAGATCCTATTGGGTCAAAGCCACATTCGTAAGGGCTGGTTTTTTCTGCATAGACGTTTAGTTGGGGGAGTCAAAAAGCAGTAAGTGTGAGTAGTAAGGCTAGGGTTGTATTCGTCAGTAACGTTAATAAAAGGCTTATTGTTCTTTTTCGGGGTGTACCGAAACTAACTGATTGGAAGTCAGTTGTACTTGTTAATACTAAAAGGACTATGAACCTCATCAATAGATTGATACATAGAGGAATAATCATACGACGTCTACGAAATGTCAGTATCAAGCAGCGGCTTCAAAGCCAAAGTGGTGATTTGATGTAAAGTGGAATATTATTTGGCGTATAAAGCAGACGATAAGGAAAGTGGATCCGATGATGACGTGTAGTCCGTGGAAGCCTGTGGCTACGAAGAAGGTAGAGCTATAGACTCCGTCTGAGATTGTAAATGGGGCTTCATAGTATTCTGATGCTTGAAGTAGGGTGAAATAGAGGCCAAGTATGATTGTGATGAGAAGAGCTTGGAGTATATGTTTGCGGTCGCCTTCTATGAGACTATGATGGGCTCAAGTGATAGATACACCGGAAGCTAATAGTACGGAGGTATTGAGGAGTGGGACTTCTAGTGGATTTAGAGGGTGGATACCCGTTGGTGGTCAGGAGCCTCCTAATTCAGGAGTAGGGGGAGGCTTGAATGGTAAAAGGCTCAGAAGAAGCCTGTAAAGAATAGGACTTCTGATAAGATAAATGAGATTATACCATATCGAACTCCTTTTTGAACAGTTGGTGTGTGGTGGCCTTGGAAGGTGCTTTCTCGGACAATATCTCGTCATCATTGGTATATTGTTAGGGTATTTGTCAAAAAGCTTAAAGTCAGTAAGATTATTGAGTTGAAGTGGAATCATATGATTAGGCCTGATGTTGTAAGAAATGCTGAGAGAGCTCCTGTAAGTGGTCAAGGACTGGGGTTTACTATATGATATGAGTGGGTTTGGTGGGTCATTATGTATTGTCCTGCAAGTATAGGCTCACTAGTAAGGTGAATACGTAGGCTTGGATTAGGGCTACGGCGAATTCGAGGATGACTAATAGAGTGAGGATGGTAAATGTGATGAGGGCTGTGAATAGACTAATATTTATTAATGCAAGAGTTGCACTTCCGATTAGGTGTAGTAATAGGTGACCTGCTGTAATGTTAGCTGTTAGCCGTACTGCTAGAGCTAAAGGTTGAATAAATAGGCTAATAGTTTCGATTATCACTAACATAGGGATTAGGAAGGTGGGTGTGCCTAGTGGTAAAAGGTGGGCTAGGGATATTTTTGTCTTGTTACGGAAACCGATAATGACAGTGCCAGCTCATAATGGAATAGCTATGCCTAAATTTATAGAGAGTTGAGTAGTAGGTGTAAATGAGTGGGGTAATATTCCAAGGAGGTTTGTGGAAGCGATGAATAGGAAAAGTGAGATAAGTATTAGAGATTAGGTTTGTCCTTTGAGGCTATGTGTAACTATCAGTTGCTTTGATGTGAGTTTGGTTAGTCATTGTTGGATAGCGATTATACGGTTATTGATTAATCGATTTGGTGTTGGAAATAGTATGGTGGGAAATATAATAATTAGAGTAGTGATAGGAATACCTAGTATAATCGGGATTATGAAAGGGGCAAATAGATTTTCGTTCATGTGTGATTTCAAGGGGTTTGTTTTTGTAATTTAGTGACATTGGTTTGGGGGAAAGAGAATAAAAATGCTTTGAGATTTTTCGTTGAAGTAATGTGAAGAGGGTAAAGATCAGAGAGAATGGTAAGGAGTCATGTTGATGTATCTAGTTGTGGCATGTCATTAAGGGGAGTTTATAACTCTCAATCTTTAACTTAAAAGGTTAACGCTAGTTTAGCTTCTTAATGAAATTATAATATGGATGCAGATCATTTTTCAAAGTTCTCTAAGGGTACTAATTCGAGAACAATTGGCATAAAGCTGTGATTTGAGCCACAGATTTCTGAACATTGTCCATAGAACAGGCCAGGTCGTGTTGATATTAGGGTTGTTTGGTTTAGGCGTCCAGGAATTGCATCTGTTTTTAGACCTAGGGAAGGAACAGCTCATGAGTGTAGTACATCTTCTGAGGAAACTAGTATTCGGATTATTATTTGTATGGGTAGGACCATTCGATTATCTACTTCTAGCAATCGTAGTTCTCCTGGTTTTAGGTCCGAGGTTGGAATCATGTATGAGTCAAAATTTAGGTCTTCATAGTCGGTATATTCATAGCTTCAATATCATTGATGTCCTATTGTTTTTAGGTAAGGGAGGGATTGTTAATTTCTCCTATTATGTAGAGAATTCATAGAGAAGGTAGGGCAATTATAATTAAGATAACGGCTGGGAGGACAGTTCAAATAGTTTCTACTTCTTGAGCGTCTATTGTACTAGTGTGTGTTAATTTGGTTGTAAGTATCAGTGTAATAATATAGAGGACTAGGGAGCTAATTAGGAAAACAATCATTAATGCGTGGTCATGAAACTGTAGGAGTTCTTCTATAACAGGTGATGCTGCGTCTTGTAAGCCTAGTTGGAAGGGGTATGCCATGGAGATATACAGGATTTTCACTTGTGATTTAACTTTGACAAAGTTACGTAAGACTTTACTAATATCTCGCTCATAAAGAAAGACATAATGGTTATGATGTTGGCTTGAAACCGATTAGAGGGGGTTCGATTCCTTCCTTTCTTGAATATTTTAGGTTGACATATACCGGTTCCTCAAATGTGTGGTATGGTGGAGGACATCCATTTAGTCATTCAAGGTTTGTGGAGGTGAGGTCTACTGCTAATACTTCCCGTTTAGATGCGAATGCTTCTCAGATAATGAAGATTATCAGTATGACTGCTGTCAGTGAGATAAAGGAGCCTATTGATGAGATGGTATTTCATGTTGTGTAGGCATCTGGATAGTCGGAGTATCGGCGAGGTATTCCAGATAGGCCTAGGAAGTGTTGTGGGAAGAATGTCATATTTACACCTACGAATATAATTATGAATTGGATTTTTGTTCATGTTGGGTTAAGTGTATAGCCTGAAAATAGTGGAAATCAGTGGACGAAACCTCCTATAATGGCAAAGAGAGCTCCTATTGAAAGCACATAGTGAAAATGGGCAACCACATAATAGGTGTCGTGGAGAATGATGTCTAGGGATGAGTTAGCCAGGATAATACCGGTTAAACCTCCTACTGTGAATAAGAAAATAAAGCCTAAAGCTCATATTAGGGCGGGAGATCATTTAATACTTCCTCCGTGAAGTGTTGCCAGTCAGCTGAAGACTTTTACTCCTGTAGGAATTGCAATAATTATAGTGGCTGATGTAAAGTATGCTCGGGTATCTACGTCTATTCCAACTGTAAATATATGATGAGCTCATACAATAAAACCCAGGAAACCAATAGAAACTATAGCTCATACTATTCCCATATACCCGAAATGTTCTTTTTTCCCCGAATAATAGGTAATGATATGTGAAATTATTCCGAAGCTGGGCAGAATTAGAATATATACTTCGGGATGGCCAAAAAATCAGAATAGGTGTTGATACAGGATTGGGTCCCCTCCTCCTGCTGGGTCGAAAAAGGTTGTGTTTAGGTTTCGATCGGTTAATAGTATAGTAATTCCGGCTGCTAAGACGGGTAGTGATGGTAAGAGTAAGACTGCTGTGACCAAGACTGATCAGACGAAGAGAGGTGTTTGGTATTGGGTTATAGCGGGTGGTTTTATATTAATAATAGTTGTAATGAAGTTAATAGCCCCAAGGATTGAAGATACACCGGCTAAATGTAGAGAGAAAATAGTAAGGTCTACTGAGGCTCCTGCGTGTGCTAGATTTCCGGCTAGAGGAGGATATACAGTTCAGCCTGTTCCTGCGCCGGCTTCAATTATTGAAGATGCTATCAGTAGTAGAAAGGAAGGGGGAAGTAGAAGCTTATGTTGTTTAGACGAGGGAATGCTATGTCAGGGGCTCCAATTATCAAGGGAACTAGTCAGTTTCCAAATCCCCCAATTATGATAGGTATAACCATAAAGAAAATTATTACGAAGGCGTGAGCTGTTACTAGAACATTATAAAGTTGGTCGTCTCCGATAAGTGTGCCAGGTTGACCTAATTCAGCACGAGTCAACAAGCTTAGACCAGTACCCACTATTCCTGCCCAGGCGCCAAATAGTAAATACAGAGTACCAATGTCTTTGTGATTGGTAGAGAATAGTCATCGGTTTATGAACATAGGTAAAATGGCCGAGTAGGCATTAGACTACTAAATCTAATGGCCGAGTAGGCATTAGACTACTAAATCTAAAGACAGGGGTAAAGTCCTCTTTTTGCCAAGTCCTGTGGTGAATAATCATTTTGAATTGCAAATTCAAAGAAGCAGCTTCAATCCTGCCGGGACTTCTCCCGCCTTTTTTTTCTCGCGGCGGGAGTAGATTGAAGCCAGTTTATTAGGGTATTTAGCTGTTAACTAAAAGTTCGTGGGAGATGTATCCCTCCAATCTAGTGAGGATTTAGCTTAATTAAAGTGTTTGATTTGCATTCAATTGATGTGAGATATGGTCTTGCAATCCTTATTGGGCAGGGGTTAAGTAAAATTATACTTGCTTAGGGCTTTGAAGGCTCTTGGTCTTATTTAACCTAAACCCTTATAGTAGGATAAAGAGTGCTGGTGTAAGAGGTAGGAGTATTGTGGATAGTACGATTGCTGTTGGTAAAAGGGTTATTTGTTTTGTGGAGTGGAATTGTCATCTTATTTTTATGTTGTTGGTAGAGGGGAACAGGGTTAATGCTGTGGAGTAGGTAAGGCGTATATAGAAATATAGGTTGAGTAGAGCTGTGATGGCTATGAGGGTGGGTAGGATGAGGGTGTCGTTTTTTGTTAGTTCTTGAATAATCATTCATTTGGGTATAAAGCCTGTGAGTGGAGGAAGTCCTCCTATGGAGAGTAGGGTAAGCATAGTAAAGGTTGTTATAACAGGTATTGTATTTCATGTTTGGGATAGTAGTAGTGTGGTGGTAGTGGAGTTTTGAATAAGTAGTATAAATATGGTGAAGGTTATTACAATGTAAATTAATAGATTTAGTAGGGTGAGGGCTGGGTTGTATAATAAAACAGCGGTTATTCATCCTATGTGAGCAATTGATGAATAGGCTATGATTTTTCAGAGTTGTTTGGTTTAGTCCACCTCAGCCTCCGATTAGAATTGATAGGAAGGATATAGTAATTATTAGGTGTAGATTGATTGATGGTGAAATTTGATAAAGGATTGAGATGGGTGCGAGTTTTTGTCACGTAAGTAGGATTAGTCCTGTGCTTAGGGGAACACCTTGTGTAACTTCTGGTACTCAAAAGTGAAAAGGGGATAATCCTAGTTTAATGGCTAAAGCTATTGTTATTAGAATGGATGCTGTTCGGTCGAATAATTTTATGATGGTTCATTGGCTGGAGTGTATTAGGTTAATAATAATTGCTAGTATAAGTAATGAGGATGCTGTGGCTTGTGTTAGAAAGTATTTGGCTGAGGCTTCTGTGGCTCGAGGATTAGGTTTTTTTATTATGATAGGAATGATGGCTATCATATTTATTTCTAGTCCAATTCAGGCGAACAGTCAATGGGAGCTAATGGTTACAATTGTTGTGCTTAGGACGATGGTTGTTAGTAGGGTGATAGAGACGAATGGGTTAATTAGTATGGGAAGGATATGAACCAACATTTCCGGGGTATGGGCCCGGTAGCTTATTTAGCTGACCTTACTATAGATTATGGTGTAGTGTGGTAGCACGGAGAATTTTGAATTCTTAAGGGTAAGTTCGATTCCTATTATTCTAGAAATACGAGGACTCAAACCTCTATTATTTACGCTATCAAAGTAATTCTTTTGTCAGACATATTTCTTATTTTATGTTTGGGGTGGGATGCCTGCTGTTATAATGGGCAGTGAGATGTGTCATATGCAGAGAGCTAGTGTCAGTGGGAGGAAATTTTTTCTGAGGAGGTGTATTAGTTGGTCATATCGGAATCGGGGGTAGGATGCTCGGATTCATAGGAAGGATATTGTTAATAGTAGCGATTTGATGATTAGGTTTGTTGTGCATAGTTCTGGTATGTAGGGGTCATGGAATGCTCCTAGAAATAAGATAGTTGTGAATATATTTATTATGATAATGTTAGCATATTCTGCTAGGAAGAATAGGGCGAAAGGGCCTGCTGCATATTCTACATTAAAGCCAGATACGAGTTCTGATTCTCCTTCTGTAAGGTCGAAAGGGGCTCGGTTAGTTTCTGCTAAGGTGGAAATAAATCATATTATGGCTAGTGGTCATGAAGGGAAGAGTAATCATAAGTTTTTCTTGTGTAGTGTTTAGTGTAGATAGAGTGAAGGAGCTTTAAGGCTCCTTGGAGTATAGTTGATTATTTTGTGTTAGTTTCAGGTGTACAGCAAAGTGATTCATTATACATATACATGTATCTGTTCTTTTTCAAATTCTTTTCCCTTTAGGTTATTACACAATATTGAGCATAGTACCTTGTGCTATACGATAGGTCCTTGTTGGTTATCTATTTTAAATATAGTAGTGTGTATATATCAATCCCAAACTCCCAGTTTATCCTCCCCCCACCCCCACCTTTCTCCTTTGGTAACCATAAGTTTATTTTCTAAGTCTATGAATCTGTTTCTGTTTTGTAATAAGTTCATTTGCATCATTTTTTTTTATTCCACATATAAGTGATATCATATGATATTTGTCTTTCTCTGTCTTCACTTAGTATGATAATCTCCAGGTCCATCCATTATTTCATTCTTTATATATATTTTATTTATATATATTTCATTCTTTATATATATGTACCACATCTTCTTTATCCATTCCTCTGTTAATGGACATTTAGGTGCATGGGTTTATCTCTGGGCTTTCTATCCTGTTACATTGATCTATATTTGTTTTTGTGCCAGTACCGTACTGTTTTGATGACTGTAGCTTTGTAGTATAGTCTGAAGGCAGGGAGCCTGATTCCTCCAGTTCTGTTATTCTTTCTTAAGATTGCTTTGGCTGTTTGGGGTCTTCTGTGTCTCCATACAAATTATAACATTTTTTGTTCTATTTCTGTGGAAAAATGCCATTGGTACAATAATGCAATAGGGGTTGCACTGAATCTGTAGATTGCCATGGGTAGTATAGTCATTTTGACAATATTGATCCTTCTAATATAAGAACATGGTATATCTTTACATATGTTTGTGTCATCTTTGATTTCTTTATCAGTGTCTTACAGTTTTTAGAGTACAGGTCTTTTGGCTCCTTAAGTAGGTTTATTCCTCGGTATTTTATTCTTTTTGATGCAGTGGTAAATGGGATTGTTTCTTTAATTTCCCTTTCTGATCCTTTGTTGTTAGTGTATAGAAATGCAACAGACTTCTGTGTATTAATTTTGTATCCTGTCACTTTACCAAATTCAGATGAGCTCTAGTAGTTTTCTGGTAGCATCTTTAGGATTTTCTGTGTATCATATCATGTAATCTGCAAACAGTGATGGTTTTACTTTTCCAATTTGAATTCCTTTTCTTTTTATATCTTTTTCTTCTCTGATTGCCATGGTTAGAACTTCCAAAACCTATGTTGAATAAAAGTGGCAAAAATGAGGGGGCTTCCCTGGTGGTGCAGTGGTTAAGAATTCGCCTGACAATGCAGGGGACATGGGGTCGAGCCCTGGTCTGGGAAGATCCCACATGCCACGGAGCAACTAAGCCCGTGCGCCACAACTACTGAGCCTGTGCTCTAGAGCCCGCGAGCCACAACGACTGAGCCCATGTGCCATAGCTACTGAAGCACCTAGAGCCCGTGCTCCACAACAAGACAAGCCACTGCAATGCGAAGACCGCACACTGCAATGAAGAGTAGACCCCGTGTTATCTATTTTATACATATTAGTGTATATATGTCAATCTCAATCTCCCAATTCATACCACCCCACCCCACCCCGCCACTGCTTTCCCCCCTTGGTGTCTGTACGTTTGTTCTCTACTTCTATGTCTCTGTTTCTGCCTTGCAAACAGGTTCATCTGTACCATTTCTCTAGATTCCATATATATGCGTTAATATACAATATTTGTTTTTCTCTTTCTGACTTACTTCACTCTGTGTGACAGTCTCTAGGTCCATCCACATCTCTATAAATGACCCAGTTCCATTCCTTTTTATGGCTGAGTAATATTCCATTGTATATATGTACCACATCTTCTTTATCCATTCATCTGCCCATGGGCATTTAGCTTGATTCCATAACCTGGCTATTGTAAATAGTGCTGCAGTGAACATCGGGGTGCATGTGGCTTTTTGAATTATGGTTTTCTCTGGGTATATGCCCAGTAGTGGGATTGCTGGGTCATATGGTAATTCTATTTTTAGTTTTTTAAGGAACCTCCATACTGTTCTCCACCGTGGCTGTATCAATTTACATTCCCACCAACAGTGCAAGAGGGTTCCCTTTTCTCCACACCCTCTCCAGCATTTGTTGTTTGTAGATTTCTGATGATGCCTTTTCTAACTAGTGTGAGGTGATACCTCATTGTAGTTTTGATTTGCATTTCTCTAATAATTAGTGCTGTTGAGCAGCTTTTCATGTGCCTCTTGGCCATCTGTCTGTCTTCTTTGAAAAAATGTCTATTTAGGTCTTCTGCCCATTTTTGGATTTTTTGTTTTTTTAATATTGAGCTGCATGAGCTGTTCATATATTTTGGAGATTAATCATTTGTCCATTGATTTCATTTGCAAATATTTTCTCCCATTCTGAGGGTTGCCTTTTCGTCTTGTTTATAGTTTCCTTTGCTGTGCAAAAGCTTTTAAGTTTCATTAGGTCCCATTTGTTTATTTTTGTTCTTATTTCCATTACTCTAGGAGATGGGTCAAAAAAGATCTTGCTGTGAGTTACGTCAAAGAGTGTTATTCCTATGTTTTCCTCTGAGAGTTTTATGGAGTCCAATCTTACATTTAGGTCTTTAATCCATTTTGAGTTTATTTTTGTGTATGGTGTTAGGGAGTGTTCTAATTTCATATTTTTACATATAGCTGTCCAGTTTTCCCAGCACCATTTGTTGAAGAGACTGTGTTTTCTCCATTGTATATCCTTGCCTCCTTTGTCATAGATTAGTTGACCATAAGTGTGTGGGTTTATCTCTGGGCTTTCTATCCTGTTCCACTGATCTGTATTTCTGTCTTTGTGCCAATACCATATTGTCTTGATTACTGTAGCTTCGTCGTATAGTCTGAAGTCAAAGTCTGATTCCTCCAGCTCCATTTTTTCCCCTCAAGATTGCTTTGGCTATTTGGGGTCTTTTGTGTCTCCATGCAAATTTAAAGACGTTTTGTTCTAGTTCCGTAAGAAATGCCACTGGTAATTTGATAGGGATTGCACTGAATCTGTACATTGTTTTGGGTAGGATAGTCATTTTCACAATATTGAGTCTTCCAATCCAAGAACATGATATATTTTTCCATCTGTTTGTGTCATCTTTGATTTCTTTCATCAGTGTCTTACAGTTTTCTGAGTACAGGTCTTTTACCTCCCTAGGTTGGTTTATTCCTAGGTATTTTATTCTTTTTGTTGCAGTGTTGAATGGGATTGTTTCCTTCATTTCTCTTTCTGATCTTTCGTTGTTAGTGTATAGGTGTGCAAGCTATTTCTGTGCATTAATATTGTATCCTGCAACTTTACCAAATTCATTGATTAGCTCCAGTAGTTTTCTGGTGGCATCTTTAGGATTCTCTATGTATAGTACCATGTCATCTGCAAACAGTGACAGTTTTGCTTCTTTTCAATTTGGATTCCTTTTATTTTTCTTCTCTGATTGCTGTAGCTAGGACTTCCAAAACTATGTTGAATAATAGTGGCAAGAGTTGACATCCTTGTCTTGTTCCTGATCTTAGAGGAAATGCTTTCAGTTTTTCACCTAAGAATGATGTTTGCTGTGGGTTTGATGTATATGGCCTTTATTATGTTGAGGTAGGTTCCCTCTATGCCCCCTTTCTGGAGAGTTTTTATCATAAATGGATGTTGAATTTTGTCAAAAGCTTTTTCTGCTCTATTGAGATGATCATATGGCTTTTATTCTTCAGTTGGTTAATATGGTGTATCACATTGATTGATTTGTGTATATTGAAGAATCCTTGCATCTCTGGGATAAATCCCACTTATCATGGTGTATGATCCTTTTAATGTGTTGTTGGATTCTGTTTGCTAGTATTTTGTTGAGGATTTTTGCAACTATATTCATCAGTAATATTGGTCTGTAATTTTCTTTTTTGTAGTATCTTTGTCTGGTTTTGGTATCAGGATGATGGTGGCCTCGTAGAATGAGTTTGGGAGTGTCCCTTCCTCTGCAATTTTTTGGAGGAGTTTGAGAAGGATGGGTTGTTAGGTCTTTTCTAAATGGTTGATAGAATTCACCTGTGAAGCCATCTGGTCCTGGACTTTTGTTTATTGGAAAATTTTTTTTTTTTAGGAGTTTATTAATTAATTTATTTTTGCTGTGTTGCGTCTTCGTTTCTGTGTGAGGGCTTTCTTTAGTTGTGGCAAGCGGGGGCCATTCTT